GCGTGCCCCCCCCGAAAGCCAGCCAGCCCTCCCCAAATCAGATTCCCCCAAATTTGGACACCTCCAGGTCAAATTAAGCCTGCCCCCCCCAAAAAAAAATCAAACCAGAATCTGAAAAATCAGAATCTCCCAAATCAGAAATCCCTCCTTCAACCAGACCTGCCAGATTTAGGGATAACAACCCCCCCACCCGGCAGTCAGACCCCACCCCAATAAGTCTTGGAGGAGGGGCCCTGCTACTTGGTGTCCTCCCCCCCCTCCTACAAATTGGTCCCAATCCCTTACCTGGGCTGACACTGTTCAGGCTACCTCCTCCCCATCCACCTGTCCTGAATCTCTTTCTCTCCAGCCATGGCCCTCTTCCGCCGCTGGGCTGCTTACCTGCAGGACCCGGAGAAAGTGGCCCGTTTCCAAAGGCTGTGTGGCGTGGAACCTGCCCTGGAAGAGGCGCAGGAGAAAAGCGCGTCTGACGTCCTCTTGGTCAACGGGAGCTGCCTGGCAACCCCAGAGAATGGTGAAGGTGACAGGAGGTACCGGCTGCGGAGCGCCAGGGATGCCGGGGAGAAAGGTGAGGGGTGGCACTCCAATGGCATGAAGAATGGGGTGGTTCCCGGAGAAGCGGCAGAGTCCCAGCAGGGGCCTGCGGAGGATGGGAAGCAGCACAGCTGGGGCATGAAGAGGCAGCCCCGGCGCAACTCTCTGACGGGGGAGTCCGTGTGCCAAGCCTTCAGGATCCGCAGCCGCTTCCTCTACTATCTGTTCACCCTGGGCACGGAGCTAGGCAACGAGCTCTTCTATATACTCTTCTTCCCCTTCTGCATCTGGAACGTGGATGCCTGGATGGGCCGGAGGCTCATTATCGTCTGGGTCTGGGTCATGTATCTGGGTCAGTGTACCAAGGACGTTATCCGCTGGCCCCGGCCTGCCTCCCCACCGGTGGTGAAGCTGGAGATCTTCTACAATTCCGAGTACAGCATGCCCTCCACCCACGCCATGTCGGGCACGGCCATCCCTTTGACGCTGGTTCTGCTCAGCTACGGACGGTGGCAGGTAAGCGGGGACCCCCTTTCCCCTCCCCACCTTCATAGTAAAGAGTTTTAGCCTAGGCTGCTACTGCTGAAAATCGTCTGGTGGAAATACGTCAGGGCACTGCTGCTTTGAAACACATGGAAAATGAACATATCCGTTGTCAAGTTAACATTTGGTACCAGGTACTTGGCCACATAGTGTGGTGCAGGGGCTAGAACGTCCGACGAGGACTGCTTTAAATCTTCACTCAGCCATGAAGCTTGCTGGCTTGAGCCAGCTGCACTCACTCTCAGTCTAAACTAAAAAAACTGAGGAGTGGGGAAAGGACGTATGCCTTCCTGAGTTCCTGGAAGGTTGGTGGGATTTTTTTTTTTTTTTACCATGGTAGATGTGATATAATCCCAGAATTGTAAAATGGCTAAATCGTTTTTCTGAATGGGGGCTCCATCATGTCAAAGTGTAGTGTCATCTCAGTAAAACTTCCCAGCCATTCTTGTAGTGGTTTCATTTGCAAACTCTGGAGTGTGCCCCATCTGTTAGCACTGTGTGGGCTGAAAGCCAGGTTGAAGCATAGGCCAAGAAGGACTTGGAAATAGAACAGTAAAGTAATTTTCTGTTCCCTCAGTTGGAAGATTTAAGTACCTCCACAATGCCTAACTGAATTAGAAATTGTAGCAATTTTGGTTGTATATCTAATTTTTAGCTTCCTTCAGCACAGGGGAATGCACGATGCAAACTAGATTTCTTGTTTCAGTGGGAATGTCCTATTGAACTTGCTTCCCGGTAAACATACTCAGGATCTAATTAAAGGGGAACTCTGAACTTTCACATTGGAGACATAGATGTAAAATACCAGTTCATCTCGTCTGTGATTCAGGTCCAGTTGCAGACCTCATTCATCAGCTAGTGTGGTGATATTGATGTAAATGAGCATCCATATGCAGCTGTGTTTGGCACATCTTCCTTGCGACGGGCTTTTGAGTGCTTCTTTCAGAAGCCACCATATTCTCACTGCATTTTAATATTGCTTTTTGTACTGTGGCCCCATGGAATAATTGCACTTCTTTGGTAACTATCTACTGGAGTTGGCAAATGTGGGACCGCTGAAAAAGGTCTTGGATAGGAATTAAGTCACTTTCCTGTTAATGTTGCATTCGTGCTTCTGTACAGAGTCCAGTGTAGCTATAATCACGGGCTTTCTTAACCCCTTTCCTCCCATGGTTCCCTATATGTCTGGGGCTTGGACCTAGTGGCTTCTGGTTACCTTTAAAAACAAAAAAACCCACCTCAATCTTTGCCTTAAAAAAATCTTAATGCCCAGTTTGTTTTTATCTCCGCCACATCCTGCCGTTAATTAAGGCAACAGGAAAATTTCTGACTTCAGTGATTGACAGTTGAGGCAATGAGAACATGTTGAGAGGACAGTCTTCTGTACAGACTGCTCCTGTTAGCAGAATTTCATAGCTCGTATCACTCTAATATATTAGCATAAGATACTGATCCCTACTCTTCACCTGTGCAGTTAACCAAATAATATAAGGGGTAGCTGGGGGGGGGGGTTCTCTACCTAAATATGGTAAAATTATTGTATGTGAAAATAATGTGGGTGGATACAGAATATCTCAAAGGATTACAAAAATCAGGATAGAGTATATTGCTGTGTGATTTCACTTGGTAACTTCATTTTAGTCAAAACTGAAAATTTTGTACAGTTACAGTGGTTATGGATTTTGGGCTATAGTGCTCCTTTAAAATGGACCGTCTGTCCTCCCTTGCAGAGAAGATTCAGTTGAGGAGGATTTCTTGAGGGAAAGGATTGGATAGAATGTAAAACATCTAGATGCTGTGTAAACAGCTTGCTCAACATACCACTGGCCAGAATAATTCCATTTCAGTACAGATAAATGAATGGTTGTTCCATTACGTTTAAACACTTCTGAAGATGTAAAACCACCAGGGCTGAGGTAGCTTGTGATTCTTCTGCTAACATCAGCTTTTATTGTCAGAATGCTGGGAAGTAGTTATGGTTTCACTGGTTCTTTAAACCTGTGATCTAATGCACATTTACCTGGGAGCAAGCCCCACGGAATAAAGTGGGACTTGTATCTGAGTACACGTATATAGGATTGCATAGCAAATTGTGAAGTTTTTTAGAGTCAGGTGGTTTTTTTTGGTATTTTTTATATGTGAGTGTGTGTGCACCTGGAAGTCATGGTGACCTCTGGTGTCTGACCCCTACTGGGGGTCTGGAGAATATTCAGAAAGGTGGCTGAATAAAGCCTGCCCCCGCCTCCCTCTTCTGGTATTCCAAAGAGGTCTCCCATCCGAGTACTTCCCAGAGTTGACCCTGCTTAGCTTCTGAGATCTGATTATATTTTACAGTACTAGGCAAGATTTAGATATGGGCAAGGAGTTTGTCATTCTGATAAGGTTATGCATAAAATTATTAGATTTCAGGATGGGATTACAAGGGAACATAACTTTTTGTCTTATTGCAGGCTTGTTGAAATACCAGACAATGGAATCCTTAGTCTTGGCTTCCTGCTGCCAAAAATCCTTTTCCATAGCAATAATTCCTCAAGGGCCACATTTATTTTTTGCATTTCATTCCTTGAAAATTTTTGCTCTTCCATGGAAGCTTGCTGGGTGACCTTGGGCTGGTCACACACTGTCAGCCGTTATAACCTACCTCACAGGTTTGTCGTGAGGATAAAACAGAATGGTGTCAGTTGCCTTGGGTCCCCAAGGCAGAAAGGAGGTATATAAATACAGTAAATAAAAAATAATCTACAAATAAAAAGTTTGGAGCAGACGACTGCTTAATAAGTATTTTCTCAATTAGTGAGTGCCATCATGAATTGGATATAGCTATAGAGGGAGCAGATGGCACCGTACCATTGTTGGTCTGCCATCACCGTGGTCTATTCCAGCTATTTGTGTACCACAGTGAGGTGTTTTTTCCTTATTGCATATTATTTCTATATATCTGATCTCAGCTATATGCATGTCAGCAATATGAACAATTAGCAAAATCTTAAAGTACTTATTGCTTAAAATTTTCAAATTAAAAGAAGTCTCACCTTGGGTTATAAGTATTCAAAACAAATTGTTTCCCTATGAATAGTCCTGAAACCGTTGTTTCCTTATAATAGCTACTGGCACTAACTCAGTCCCTAGAAAGAAGGAGGGTACTCTAGAGAAGCCTTTTCACAGTGTATTAAATCAGGATGTAAACCATGGATTGTTAGAAGATGTAATAAATGCAGAAAAGGAAATTCCCCAAGGATAAGAGCTTTAATAGGCAATTCACAGTCTCACAGGTTTGCTAAAGAGAAACAACAAAACTCCTGTCACTGCCCTAAAGAAACACTTTTTTCTTTGCTTTTGTATGCATGTATCACATTGTATCAAAGATGCCAGTTTGAGGTTAAAGGAAACAAACTAATCCGATTCTGCAGCAGTGTAAAACATTGATTGTCATTAATAACTCTTAAAATTGTAGCTGTTTTTAAGAGCAGGTAAATTACATAATTCATGTTCCTGAAAAAAATTATGTTGTATAAACACAGCTTACCAAAGACTGCAGGCAAGGCGGGATATAAATCGAAATAAATAAATAAAACAAAAGAAAAAATAGTATTTTATTAGAGGAATAACGATCTTTCTAATTTAAGAGCTATTTTCTCCCTCATTCTTTGAGTGCCACTCCAACAAGCAGAAGATCCCAGAGCCTAGGTGATTCATGTTGGGTCTTAGAAGTGTAAAGAATGCTTTGCACGTCATAGCTCCTGAATGGGTACCTGTTTGGGTAACACAGACTTCTGCCATATGATGGCTGAAGGGAAAAGACATCGATGAATTCTCCCCTGCAAATGCCCCCTGACCACTTTTCCACAGCCAGACTTATTTAAGTCTTGGAGCCCATCTGAGAAAAAATGGGTTACAAATAGCAAGGAGGGCATTTATTGGGGAGAGATGGTGGTTGAGGCAAGGGTTAAGTTTCTCCCACAATCAGTTCACCATACATTATCATCATCATCAATTGAATTTCTGAATTTCCCATCCCTGAGTACACAGGGCTCTGGGCGATTTACAGGAGGTTAAAAACATACAAATACAATTTTTAAAATCAACAGATCAATTAATCCTAGTTACACAATCTTCAGATGGCATCTATAATTTTAATCTAAAACCTGCTTTGGACTGTTCTTCCATCTCATGGGCAGGTTAGGAGGAGGCTGAAGCGGGCAAGATGGAAAAAAGAAGAGGAGAGTGCCAGCTGTGATGGAAAACTGGTGCTGTCCTCAACGAAAAGCCTGGTGGAACATCTCTGCCTTACAGGCCCTGCAGAATTGCATTAAGTCCCGCAGGGCCTTGCTGGAAGTTGGCAGAGAGTTCCCCCAGGTTGGCGCCAGGGCCGAGAAAGCCCTGGCTCTGGTCGAGGCCAGGTGGATATCTTTTGGGCCAGGGATCACCAACAGATTGCTCTCAGCTGAGCGTAACGCTCTCCCAGGGACATACCAGAGGAAGTGGTCCCAAAGATACATCAGATTTGCAAGGCAAAACCAGGGTTGAAATCCTGTTGCTGCCTCACAATATGTAATTTACCTATCCCAAAACTGTTGATATGGCAGAATATGGATGGTTAACCTGTGGGAACATTTGTGGATCTGTAGAAAGGCAATTCAGTCTGCTGCTCGTCTCCTTAATGATGCATGATTGCCTGCTCCTAGTCAGTAAATCAGATGTAGAGCTACCCTAAGGGCTAGCTGTGCATATGTGCATATATATACTGTACTGCAAACAACTCTGAAATACTTGTTTCAAGTTTTAATTTCAGCACAGCTGCAAATAAAAATTAGGCTGCTGGTGGACAAAGTAAATCTGTGCAGGAAGGCTAGTATTTGTATTTGGGCCAGAAATATTATTCTCTGTTAGTATTCAGTACAGATTCTATTTTCTCTCCTCCCATATTTCCTGTTTTTGAGATGCTTCAGAAGGAAAAAAACCTATGATCTTTA